TTTGTGAGCTCAGTGCTCACAGTTCCTCTAGTTTGACTTTGTGATATCATCGTTTCAGCTTTTTAATTAATGATATAACATATTCAAATAAGTAATATCATATTTTTTGAATAGGATTTATCACTAGTTTAGATAGTGAATAAATACAGTAAAATAAGAAACATTAATTTTAATGAATAAGTAATATACATTATTATATTAAATTGGTTACCGCTAATTTATGATATCACCTACATGTATTTGTGTAAATTGAGTGATACGCCTTAGTTGAATAATTGATAACACACACGAGAATTTCGATGACATTTGAATTAATTTATATTGCTCCCTTGATCACAGATTGGTAAGTACAATGCATGATTTGTTTCCGAGAAAAGAAATTGCTTAGCAGCAGTGACTTTCCCTTTTTTTCTTTACAAGTGGCCCTTGGACCACAACGCTCACCTCAGTGACCTCACTCACCTTAGTCCTTCTTCATCAGAAGATGTTAAAAGGATTTATTCCCCATCTATTCAAATCAAAAAGATTTGACTCCGTATTATGGTCACACCCTAGCCAAAAGGGGCTATAATGTGTAACCGAACTTGAATCCATTTAACAAGAGGATACTTCTATATTAATATGACTAACACGGCCTTGCTGTTCTGGAAAAGCTAGACTTTTCAAAAACTTTTTTCTCGTAAACTTGCATTACCGTATGTGATCTTTGATCCCCATTTTAGCCCAACCCTAAAGTCCATAATTTGAAGAAAAATAACTTGAATTCATTCAACCTCAGGATTGTTGCTTTTCTGTATGATTCAGTGTAACTCTTCTTCTCTTAATTAAATTTCTTCTTAAAATTTTCCATATATTTCTAAATAAAATTCTGTTCCTGTATTGTGGCGCCACCCTACACCTTGGGACCATGATTTGAACAAATTTGAATATGAGCCACCTAGGGATGCTTACCTGTTAATATAACAAATCATAGCCCTGCTGTTCTTGAGAAAAACATTTTGCAAGAAATTTCCCTATACATTTCCATGTAAAACCCCTTTTCCCTATTGTTATCCCAGCCTATCCCAGGAGGGTCAAGAGTCAAGACTTGAACAATTTGAATCTGCACTACAAGTATCTGAGGCTGCTTGCATCTTTTATATTTAGTAAGGACCCTGCTGTTTTTGAAAGGAAAATTTTAAAGGATTTTTTCTATACATTCCCATGTAATATTTTGACTACAGTTGTTGCCCATTTTTATTTTTAAGCTTTGAATTCTTACTTTTTAATGTCGTTCCGTGCCGACAAATTGAATACTTCGCGTTAGTGCGGTATGATAATTTGTTGAAACGGACAAATGCTGTTACACGAACGACGAAATCCAAAAGTAAGAAGTCAATGCTTATGTTCCTAGTGTATTGAAAGTATATGTAGTTCATATTGTGAATTCTAACACGCCTTGACAAGGTCCCGAGTGGGGGTTGAATGTTATAGATTTCCAAAGGATTTCATAAAGAAAATTACATTGAATGTAAATATAATGTGTATTTACCCATGGTATTTCTTCAAAGTTAATCATTATAGTTACTCATATTATATAGGGAAAATTATCATATGAAGTATGTCAGTCAAAATACGACCCAGTGCTAGGATATGTTTGCTAACAAGATCATTATAACGACCACAGAATTTACGAAATGCCGACTTTAAACGAGTTGTTGATAATATAAGTGTCTGTAACATCAACTTATCTGTCAGTAGGACTGAAGTCCCTGAAACATCAACTTATCCGTCAGTAGCTTGCCTCGATTTAAAAATTGATCGTACTCAGGGCATGCTCTTGAGTATCGAATACATTAGGAGATATAAACACCATATGTAGGTGATAGCGGAATATTACAGTATCACTACATAGAAGGGAAAGGGGATGATGGAAAAGCTGAAGTGACTTCATCTCATTGTTTTATTCGGCCTCTATCATATGTAGTCAGTAAAACATCCAAATATGAAACCGATGTGGTAGACTGTGTGAGTTTTTAATTCGAGTTTACTGGGTTATATCGAGACGACATATGAATTGGAGTAACTATGATAAAACGTCGTCGATATGTCTGAATCTCGAATTGATGGCCACAGCAAGTGTTTTCTTCTTCACATGTAAAAGGTTTTGAATAAATTCTGCTTTAAAGGAATATTAAAAAAAAACAGGTAGGTTAATAAAGGAGCACAATTAGACTCATCGCTATTCCAACAGATTGTTGGAAGACCTTGTCTCCAAAGACTTCACAAATGTTGTCAATGAGGAACTCCAGCATCCTTTTAATATGAACTCCAGAGTACTTGTGTGTGGAATTAGAGCGATTTCTAACAAAGTAATTTTGACCAATCACAGATATGAACATTTTTCAACTCTATTGTTGAGGTCTAGATGCATTTTTTTCTTCAAATACTGTGCGTGTATTTATTTGATGCTCGTACAGATAACGCAAGTTCATAATTGCACCAAATAGTCTAGACATACGTATGCACTAAATTTGAATACGCAGAAATATGTAAGGCGTATGTGCTGTTTTGAATATTCCCAGGGAGATTAAATAACTTGTTCCATGACATCCGTACTTGGCCACATTTGTTTCGATAACAACTTGGCCACACTCAGAAACATTTGTAGTTTACAAATATGTAATAAAGGGGGGAAATTTATCAAACTTCTTAGCTAAAACTGTTACAAAATCAAAATCAAATTTCGGTAATATCCATGCAGTACTCCATTACGGTAATTATAAGTCCAAAACAGAAGAAATGTAATGAATTCCGTTTCTTGACGAAAGTATATGTATTTGAGAAATTTACTAATTAAAGTCTCAAGTTAAGGAAAATCAGGGCATTATTTGCATTGGAGAGGCAGTCTATCCGGTTTTTCGGTAGTCAACACGCGGTTTTATTTATTCAGCTTTTAAAACGCTTACTACTTTTATTGCATTGATTATATTTACCCCTGTCATCTATGACCAGCTATTGTGTTAATAGTCTAGGGAACATAATAGGTAAGCAGAATGCGCACCATTAATAGAAACGACTGAGAGGCCTAACCCAAATCAAACGGGCCAATATAGCAGTCACAACATAGAACCAAATGGTCCTCAAGAGCTCGACGAAGGGTTTACCAAAACGACGAAAGAATGAGTAACCCTTTTCGTAAAGAAATAGTGATTTGTCTTGCCATACGAAAGGCTTGACGAATATTACTATACCTGTCAACACGCGGGAAGAAATAGAAAATATTGCTCCCTCCTACATAGCAACACTAAATTTTGAATTCACAGCAGGAAATTGATGAATTACAAAATAATCCACCATTGTAACTCATAAAAGCAAAATTAAAGATTGTGCAATAGACTCAATCAAAGTGCATCTTTTTTTGTAGGAATAGGGTAGTCATTTATCAACCAGCCTGGTTAAGACAGCAGGTGACACGACGTGAATTAACCGGTAGGGTATTGACAGATTCCGAAATGAGTGAAGACATGGACGATTTCTATTGAAGAAAGAGAAAATGATATCTTCTATCAAATGATGTCTACCGTTTTGTAACAGCTCATGAAATTGCAGAAGAACCCATAAACCGATAAGACTCGAACGACATGTATTGTGATACAACCCTTTCATGATAAAATCACAGAATAAATTTCTCTAATCGTTTTACAAGACAATACATCATTCGGAAATTGATGATTAAAAACCGCACTACATATTAAGGATTTATAAAATATTGCATCTCTGGGAGAAAATATTGACTAGTAATAAATTAGAATATAAGTGAATATCAATACCGAAGCACCGTCATCGACAAGATACTCGAGTATTGGTAATTAGTTTGAATCCTTCAACTCTCACTATTGCTTCACATTTTAACACTGGGTGTTGAGTGTTTGATAGGCTGTTATACTGCTCACTACTGATAAATATTCGTCATTCTAACTTTTGCAGACTTACATGTATATAAGATGTATCATAAGTGGTTCCTCCATCTGTAATGGTTAAACGCCATCAGACTCATCGATATTACAGAGTTTAACAAATTGGAATAAATAAACAGAAAATTAGGTAAACCCTAGGTACCTGAGGTCCGTGGTCATACATTTATTTACAAGCACATCCTATCAAAGGATGAGCTATAAAGCCTCTGTGAACAGAGACATTAGCTCTACTGTACACTCAGCAGCAACAAAATGAACTGTGTCTTAACCAATTTATAACAATAAGATGCGTTATCTATAGTGTTGAGTTTGAAACCTTTCGGATAAGTCAGATATTTTTTTTAAATGAATCATGTGATGGAGTCAATAGGTCAGAGATTTTCTTTCGTGAGAGTAAATCAAATATTGCAATATATGTCTTACTCTTTATTAACACCAACAAGTAAATTATGTAGATGTAATTATGCCATGCAATATACAGGACATGCAATTTCACATTATTCTACTATATAATATGTGCAATTCTTTGATCACAGAGCTTTACATCACCATTAAAGTTAAAGGCTTTTGCTTTAGTTAATCGCTTGACAATTTATAATGTAAATGGTCCACTTTCTAAGAGACAACTGAATCTACCAAATTGCATCTACAAAGGGTTTGGGGAAAGCGGGTATTCGTTAAAGGGTAAAAAAATCAATTTTACATTGACAATAGGAACTATGACGAGACAAGGTTTCACTGTACAATAAGGGAGAGAAAGTGTGTACAAAATCGGCCAGTCGTGGTGAATCGATCCTATTGACTGTCAAACCAGTCTCCTACAGTCGGTTGGGTGTTTGGTATTTAAAAGTTTTGTACTCGTAAGAAATCATTCGGCGGACAGTTTAAAAATCTTTTGAACATTCCTGTATTTACACAGGAAATTTGAAAATATAAGTGAAAACGTATCTTTGGTTCCCCTCTCTTTTTCTGGAGTTAGCAATCTCGTCTAGACAAAGTTTCCGTTTTCAGCTGTGTCGACTGTTTCCCAGGAAGTTTTCAGTTGCTTTACAATCTTATTGACTACTCCCTAGAAGTGTTTATATCGCAGTCATGCCGGAGAAGATGTGGAATACCCAGTATATGGAAGATTTCAACAAAAAACGGACAAGAAGCAAAACGAAGAGTACGCCAACAGAAGCCTGGCGATACAGCAATCCTCAACCCAAAAAGGTAAGATTACAAGACCCTTATCATGGTTACAGGGACTGAAAAGAAACCGAAAACGTGTAAACAACTTAGGATCACAATAATAATTCGCTTTAAAAGTTTTTTAAAAAAACCATCCCTCATATTTTCTATTTTGAAATAAAAGGTTTCACCTAATACGATTATTATTTTTTTTAACTTGGATCTCATATAGGAATGTTTAGATAGACATTTAAGAGTGCCTTGCTCAAGAACCTTATTTAATCACTTCATGATATTACCAACATTGATAACTAAAAGAGTATGATAATCGAAATTTCCATTAACATTCCCAAAATTTCTCTTGACTTAACCATCAATAAGTATTGTGAAAAGCTTTTTGTATATCAGGTTTAGAGAGTCATCTCTCGTTTTAAAATTGAAATTGAACTTTTACTGACTAGTTTCTCTCCTGTTTAAATAGATATTCATACTAGAGTACGGTAATTTTAAATCAGAACTTTTTTTTTCTTACGTAGAGCATACATTTACGACAAATGTCTGTCAAAAATCAATAGATCTTTTAATTCGATGCGGTGACCATAAAATCAATTTTATTTGAATACATCAATTTGTAATAACTGAAATTCAAAATAACCGAAAGTTAGAAGTATTCTCTCTCTCTCTCTCTCTCTCTCTCTCTCTCTCTCTCTCAGGTGAACTATACACAAATGGCTGATCATGTGTTATCAATATTTGCAAGCAGAGGATTAGATAGGTACTTGGGGTATTTGGAAGTTCTTAAGCGACACACGCCTTCAACACTCAATAAGTTTATTGTTACATTAATCCCAAGTACTTCAAAATCTCTTCACCGCATATTGATTATTATAAACATGGTTCTTCTTCAAAGATAAACGTTTATTATTTTCATCGAATTTTATCAAACTGTCACTTAGTTTTCAAGCAATTTTCTAAGGCAAATTACAGGGAGGGTGAATATTTACTTTTCCATACATTCAATATTGATTCCTAATGCTCCATCCGATTATGTTGGGATTTTTTTTTATTACAAACTTTATCTATTGGAAAGCACTCATTTTTGCATGTAGCTTGCATTAATATATGCATTAATCATTTCTTAGAAAATTGTTAAGCTGAAAATGGGAATATCAATTGTTAAGTCGTTCATTAATTGGCCGCATACTGATGATATCATGGTGAAAATAGTAGGTCAGAAGCTTTTTTAGTAGATCTCGTGACATTGTCCAATCACCAACCGTGTCACTCGAAAGCAATTTCAACTAATAAATAGTCAAACAAAGGGGTAGGATAATACGCTAAAATTGTGTTTGGAACCATCATATCTGCGAAAAGACGGCAAATTGGCATTGTCTATACTCTTTTGTTGTGCTGACGTGCTTCGCCTTTGGATATTTGAATTGGTCATTTAACTTTTTGAATATTTGTTTTGTAAACTGTAGCTCTCAATCAACAGTTGTAAGGAATCTTAATCGGATTTCAATATAATCTATTCAGAGATCACCAGGATCACTCTCTGTCTGATTAGAACCAGGGTAAACTATCTTTAATCCAGAACAACTTCCCAAACTATATACATGTACATGTAAGCCACAGATATACAACTTACATGTAATAATAACTCTAGAATATGCCATATTTATGAAATTTGAATTTACAATCCAGTTTCGACGTCATTACTGACACATTCTACAATAGTCTTTAATAATAGATCTGATGTGGTAGATTTAACAGTATTTCTCCGTCGATTATCGAACATTAAAAAAAATAAAATATTGCTCATAAATCAACGGTATCATGTCATTGAGGGGATGTTGGGAAGAAAATGTCAAGAGAGTCAATATTATTTATGAAAAAAAAGAAAAACCCGGAAACTTACTTCATTCTGTACATTGTGTCAACGTTTGTTATACTCCATTTATGAAAACAGAGCGCAGGTGTTAAGTTTTGCTAATTGTTACTGTATGAAAGGTCCAAAGAACATTCATAAATATGTTTAAACCACTAGCATTACAAAGTAAAACATAAATCAAAATGGATTCTTATTTAAAACTTTAAATTTTTCAATATTTGCTGAAAGTGAAAAAGGTATAAAGTGCATATATAACAAGTTTTCAAAGAAATGTTCGTGTAAATAAATTACAACCAGTAGTTAATTCAAGGTTCCAGTATCCTATACACCGGTAAATACGTCCAAGTTTCTTTACTTTATACATTTTGTTTCTGTTCAGTTGACAACAGCTTGTAGCAACAGCGTAAAACTCATTTCCTGTATATGTTTCAGTAAAAGCAAAGACATATTACTAACTTTTAGAAAATTATGCATTTGTTTGCATATTTTTTTTTTAATTCCTGCAAAGTTTCACTCAAAAAACATACATGCATACCCTTTGAAATAAAGCTTATGAAAGAATGCTTAACTGATGCAGGTACGAACATTCTGCCATTGCGTATCAGTACCGGATGTCAGTATTGAGCAGCATAGAGAAATACTAGTTTATGGAACAAGAAAAAAATCCAGTTTTATTTAAAACAATTCAAATTATTTGCTTTGAATATAGAGTTTTAAAATCATCAATACGAGTGAAATTTACAATGTGAAGAAAATATACAAAACAGTCGATGCTTTTCACAACTACAATGATTCCATGTATTTTTAAAAAATTTCATTAGGACTTTTTGGACTCAAGAAGACCAAAAACAGCAGGAACAAACTCTTGGTATATAAAAAAAGCACAGAAGAATTTAGAGGAACGGTCACGTGCCAGCGACGTAGCTAGTCCATTCATCGACAGCTTCAGTAATATGTTAAACGATGAAAATGGTCCTTACCAGGGGACTTTTATGGAAAATTATATCAGTCCCTACCCTACTCCTTGCCCCAGTCGCCTACACACACCGGCCCCACCCACAGACCTACAAATATCGGGGGAGAAGATCCTACTGAACAATAGTAAGCAAACACTTGAAGCTTTTTACTTAATTTAACGTGTGTTAATGCAAAATTGTTAAAAGGATATGTGCTTGGTGCAACATATCATTCAAAAAGGAAATTATTGTCATCTAATTAACTGATTAATACAGTAATGTGGTTGGTTTTTGAAATATTTCTCTGTAAGTGTGTGATATTTGCAAACTATTGAATAGTAGATATTTGACTTACAAATAGAAGCAATCATTAATTTTGCACGAATAAAACAGGTGTGATTTTTGCAATTGAATAGAGAAAAATCAAAGTAATTCGATGCATTGATCATAAATCAAATGACACAACTGTGTAATTTTGTTTTTCTTTTCATCAGAAGAAATCTCGAAACAATATTTGTTAGAGCTATACGAGCAAGCCATGGCTAAAAAAGAAGAGGAAGAGGAAAAAGAAGAAGAAAAGACAGAAGAGAAGAAAGAAGAAGAAGGTAAATATTGAAAACCAAGTTGGCGGATCCAGATTTAACTCAAAGTGGACAAATTTTTTTTTTGGAAAATTAAGGGGGAAACACTCAAAACAATTATGGTTACAAAAAAAAAGATCTACAGTCACGTAACACTCATTAATTCATGCCATGTTCCCAAGATTGAAAAATCTATTTTCAAACAACTACCCTATAGGCATTTTAATACCTTGACATTTTAATGATTTATTGTATTTAGGACATACCGAAAACAAAACAAAACAAAAACAAAACAAGATGTGTTTGTGAAACACTATGCCCCCGATGGTACATATGTAACACAATTCTGGAGTGGGACGTAGACTACAGTGCAATAGTTATGGCCAATGTTAAAGTTTTTCAAATGTAGGCCAAAGGTCACAGTTGAGGTCACGTGATCAAAACATTCTGTACCAGTGGAAAGGTCTTGTCATAATGAACACTCATGTCAAATATTAAAGCCTTACCCTTGACAGTGCAATAGTTATGGGCTAGGTTAAAGTTGACAACAGAAAGACAGACAGACAAACAGACAGACAGGACAAAAACAATATACCCACGGGATCTTTCGATCCAGGGGCATAAAAAATATGTGTTTGTGAAACACTGATGCCCCGGAATGACAACTTATGGCGAAAGGTTAAACTTTCTCAAATGCAAATCAAATATGTTGGTACCCAAAGTATGGTCTTGTCTCGAGGAATATACCTGTGAAATATGAAAGCCCTAGCAGAAACCATTGAAAAGATATGAAAAAGGTTAAAGTTGTCTGAAAAAAGGTCAAACTCCAAGGTCAAGGTCAATGGGCTATAATTAATGGTATACAAAGGAAGGTTTTGTCACAAGGAATACACATATGAAGTATGAAAACCCTATCACCTACTGTTCAAAAGTTATGGCCAAGGATAAAGTATTCTGAAAGTAGGTCAAACTCCAAAGTTAAGGTCAAATGGTCAAAGTTGTTGGTATCCAAAGGAAGGTCTTGTCACAAGGATTACATATGTGAAGTATGAAAGCCCTAGCACCAACCGTTAAAAAGTTATGGCCAAGGCTAAAGTTTTTTCAAAAGTAGGTCAAACTCCTAGGTCAAGGTCAAAGGGTCAAAGTTGTAGGTATCCAAAGGAAGGTCATGTCACAAGGATTACACACATGAAGTACGAAAGCCTGAGCTCCAATATTTCAAAAGTTATGGCCAAGGTTAAAGTTTGGTAAAATTTTGCAAAACTGGGTCAAACTCCAAGGTCAAGGTTAAAAGGTCAAAAATGATAGTACCCAAAGAAAGATCTTGCCACAAGGAATACACTTGTGAATTATGAAAGCCCTTGCTCCAACCAAAAGCCGTAGACAATGTTAAAGTTTTTGTGGACAAACAGACAGACAAAGAAACAGACGGACATAGCAAAAACTATATGACCCCGAATCACGTAGATGTATATATTGAGTACAAAACTAATCTGACTATCTGCAATCTACTTTAGACTTAAGTGAAAAACAGCAAGTTGGTGCTGCAGAGTTTGACATGTCTGGGTTTTAAAATACTGACATGTACTTATTTACCGCTGAAAAAAATTCAGATGATTACTTAACTTTGCATAATGTTAAAAGGCTTATTCTTTTTTCTTTGAAAAGAGGGCAAAGAATTTAATTTTTTTTTTATTAAGATCCTTTCAGTTTAAAAGGACAATGAAAAAAATAAAATTCACTTTGTCAACAGAGTTTATCCTCTATTTAATCTAGATCTTTTTCAATAAAATCAATGGATTTTCTGGCATTGAAGTAGCTTTTATGATAAAGACGTTTGAATTTGTTCATAATTTATCACACAATTGCTGGTAAATGCCCAACGTTTTTCCGTCGTGAATCAACTGTAACAATTTATGTTTTAAACCTACTTTCGGTGATATTTTTTAAGAAAGTGAATTATCCTCGGGTACCGAAAGGGGTACCTATTGATAAGGAAGCAAGGATAGAGGTCTTAAGAGGTTGCAAATCCAAGGATTACGTATACTTAAACTTTCACAATACAAAATTAAGGCCAGTGTCGACAAGGGATAACTTCATTAATTTTTAAATTCGACCTCTAAATTTAGACAGAAAGTGTTAAAGTTATTACCACATGGTAATGTGGACTTTGAAGGCCCGCTAGTCTGGAACTAAATGCTTAACAGTGCATGTTTGGATAAATGACCAGTGACGATGAAGGTTACCACAGTCCATATACCATCTAAATCAAACCGTAAACCAATTCTCCGGAAACCGTCCCCAGCTACATTTTATCCTACCGGTAAGAGTCTGGATTTAGTTTATCAGGATACATGTACATTGAAATATTTCTTCATTTCATTACTGTCAAATCAATGTAAATTGTTTTATGTAATGCTATGCGTTATTTGGTATGGGATAATCCAGAAAACTTTAACAGATTAGGAATGACTTAAAACTATTAAACTGAAATTGATTAATCCCTGTTGATTAAAGTTCGTTTTTTAAGTAGATGAACTATACTCTTTGATATGAATTATAAAAATCTAAATATGCTTTATTTTCTTCTTAAAATTTCTTATGTTCACCGGTTGCGGTAGTCTAGTGGTAGGGCGTTCGCTTCGTGTTCGGGAAGTACTAGGATCGATTCTCTTTCCTGGCGCCGCGTCACACCTAAGACATTAACATAGCTAGTAACTGTTCCTTCGCCAAGCACTCGGCACCAGAAGTGAAAGTCACAGGTCTTTTAGATGAGACCTTAAAAACCGAGGTCACGTGTCACGATAGGAGTTGGCAAGATAAAGTACCTTCACTGATCAATGGTTCTAAGTGCCGAGTAAATGTCTGAATTTGAAGCCAATTTCTTAGGTTCAGAATACATTTATTCATTTTAATGTATCAATAGTTGAAAATAATTTGCATTTAAATATGATTGTTCAAACTGTGAAAATCTAAATTTCAGTAACCCTGGGAACCCAATGTGTTATTTGTTGGTGTGAACCAACATCCGTAATTCTAAAATTATCTCTTTTGTTATTTTGTAAATTTCATATTTAAACAGTCTCTGGACATGGTAGGAAAAGATTCAGTAGTTGACACGTGGTACACCTTTTTTGTTTGATCAAATTAAACCACACCCAGTTTTACGATTAAGCCACCAAAGATTCAGTTGCCTGGCTTTTTGATATTTTAGATAAATAAACTTGGGTTTGTTTTGTAACATTGCAGATGAAGATGATGGTAAGCTAAGATTTTAGTCGGAAGTATTTCAATTTGCTGGATTTACTTATATGCACCTTGCTCACCAATAACAGTTTGAAACTACTAATCCATTTACATTGAATTTTTATCTGCAGTTACACCATGTTTTCGAACACGCTTTTGTGCTCTTTTTACTTTACTGTTATCAAATAAACTTTTTATCAAAACCCTATTTATTATTCACGTTGATGTAAAACCTTTACATAAAATAGTAGTGAACATTTTTATTGAAAGCACGTTCTCTGTGATTTGCTATATTTTTCTTTACAAACTGCGCCCAAATGAAAATGTTATCATAAACCTATGCAGAAAAACAACCACCAAGAGCTTTTAATGCAGTATGGTTATTTAATCACCCATTGTTAAAATCGAAAAGCTCGTAGACATTTCAGGTCAAGCGATACACGGGCGGGTAATCAGTTTATTCTATAATTCCCCAGATTAAACAAATGTTGAACTGTATTGCAACCTCTTGCGCTAGACATCGTAACTAAGGTTCGATTTTGATTCATTCTGGGTCCGATAGAGCTACCAGGAACTTGTCGGTAAGACAGCATTGTAAATTCTCTTGTTTCTACCATTTTCCCTAATTTGATCTATTAAATATTAATATCCATGAAGAATACTCTGGCTATAAAGGACTCAATTTTTTTCTGATATAGATGTTCCTAAGAGATTTACTAGCTAAGGTTATTTCGGTTAAGAACTTGTTCGCAAAATTGTTAGAACTTTATTGAGAGTATCAAAATATATATAGAAGGTATTTTTCTTAAGAAGTGTTTTTGAAGTCGATCTACCTGTGGAATAAATATTTTATCATCTGCGCGTAACTTCTTAGCATTAAGTACATGTGTTAAGCATTTCAAAGCGGAATTGTCATTTTGTCAATTTTCTACAGCAAAAACTGTTTCAAGTGGAATTAACGTCAAAAGTACCCAGATTTTGTTATCTTTTATAACTTGTTGTAAGCAATTGCACTGTGGTCACAGACGTTTGCAGCAAAACTGTATAAATTATAAATACGATCATATCGATTCTCCCCTTTTTTAATCTCCAGTAAAAAAAAGTGAATAAATCAGTTTGTTGTAACCTAAGAAGAATAGTATATCAACGGCGGACCAGTACCGGCATCTAACGCCATTGACGAAGCGTATTCTTTAGCTCGTTAAGAACAAAAGAATTAATAACACGTATCGATAGCGAAAGGTGTACATTTTCGCCTCCCACTACGAGTATATACCTATTTTCAGTTGACAGAGGGCCAGTTGTCGAGCAGAGACCTAAGACTCCAGCACAGGAACTTCATTGGATTTGCTGGCCTGAACCAGAGCGACAAAAAGACATACCCAAGAGACCTAATACAGTTTTAGGCGTCCACAATTCCGACGTAAAGGGTGTGGACACAGACTGCATTGACCCTTGTCACCAACGGGTAAGTGATTCGTATGTTTTTGTTTTTCATTTTTTCTTTAGGAATATGACTTTGGACAAACTCTTCCAACAGAGGTTTTGAAATTTGAAATTATTTTTTTTCTTTAATTGAAGTTGATTACTTTCAAAAAACGTATTTGCACAGAAATAATCGAGACTCACGGGAATGACAATTTCTAGAAAGAACTTCAATCAAAACTACCAAAAAAGAGAGGAAGGAATAAGCTTTGTGTAATTAAAAACAACAGTGATTTTAATGGGTAATAAGATAAGCAATCTTAAAACTTAAAAAAAGAGCAAATCAGACTCTATATGACATTGGCGGGAGCTTAAGCTTTGATTTTACGTCAAATTTACAATGTATTGTTTTCAAACAGTTCAAAGTCATAGAGAAGTCAGAGATGTCTGAGGAGATATTAATACCCTAACAGATTTCTGGAATGGATAACAAGAAAAAATATTCTTAATCAATTTAAACTTTATTTTAGTACATTGTAGCACATATGGTACTTAATACAGGTAGCTAACATTTACCGTGGTTGCGTGCTTAACTCTTTGCCCTAGAAATGCTCCATCATTATGCTATATTGTTAAACGATATCAATATTAATGAAGATTTGAATAGTTACCAAGGAAGGCACTGACATCATACGTTTCACGTGTGCAATAAAGAAAAGTTGCTGCACACACACACAAAACAGTTTTGAATCGATTTTTAAGAGTAAATCAGTGAAAATTTTCACAACAAAATTAAACATTTGCAAAGCTACCAATCAATTCATGAATGTTCTGAGGAGTGTCAGTTTGCAACTGCAAAAAATAAGTTTATTTGACTTTTCATTAACAAAATTCAGCATTTCGTGAGCAATTTTTAATTTAAAAAAAAAGAAGAGAAAAATCCTAATTTAAACAAAGCAAAATGTTTGTTTTCATATTTTTGCATTTTTTTTTTAAAACATGAAAATTTTTATTTTCCTTAGGAAACACTTAGCACTTTAACTGTTAAAACAAGTTTAAAATATGGAATTGATTTGTAATTAACAACATTCGTAGCTTTCCGTATTTACTATATTGATTCTTCAGTTTATTGAAAAAGAAAACTTACCACATGCCGATAAATAGAAGGTTGTATGGAAAGCGGTCTAGGGTGCTCGGGTCTCCGAGCTGAGGCTCCAAACACGATCATCTTTATTGTTCCCCATTTACCAAAAACAGTAAAACCTGAAAAGGGGACAAAATGAGAAAAAATAATTAAAAGTCACTTGAATATATATATATATATATATATATATATATATATATATATATATTCTCTTCACTCACAATGTTAGTGTCCCACAAAAGACAAGAAAGCATTCTCTTTCAAAACAAAATTGAACAAATGCGGATTCAAGAAATGGCGCAGTTCAATCGTAAAACATGTATCTTTCTACTTCAAAATATTTTTGGCAGAATATCTTAATACAAATATTATTTATAGTGTATCACACAAATCAGTTTAATTTGGCATTTAAAGAAATTGCCTCCTTATATTCTTATTTCAGAATTCTTTGGGAAGTAAGTCATATGTAAATTAGCTTCATTGTTCTAATCAAGACCAGATGGGAGAAAAAACTTCTTTAAAGCTGTGTATATTGCATAAGAGTAGAAAGAAGATAATCCCATGCTTAACTATAGGTCAATTGAAAACCAATAATTCATTGTTTGACAGAGTGATGACCTACATTTAAATTGACCAAATGTCTTCAAGATCAACACTACCCCCAACTGTTTGGGTGATTTTTAAATCTGAGACAAAGACACATGACATCGCCATTATTCATAATCTGGAATTGTTGAAATGAATGACAAACTGGCTTAAAAAAAATAAACACAGCAATCCACACGTATTAATAAAGAATATCTGTCACCTATTGTTAATAAATTGCAGTTTCTTCGATGAAAAGTTATACCGATTTATCATAAAATGTATAACATATAGTCGAAAGCACTTACCTTTCTAATACATTGCATTTCCCAATTTAGAATATGCCACCGGTCAATTAAAGATCAGCAGCCACACTCTACTGGTAAAAACTCGTGTTTGTTCTTGGCAAGCTTTTAAATAGGGACTTGAAGACTCTCTTTTTATCATGTTAATTAAATCAAACTTTAATTTATGATAAGGCGCTGTTTGTTATAGGTAAAATATCGCATTACTCTATGCCACAATAAGTGGCTATTGATGAACAAACACCAAGTCTTATAATTGGTTTGAAAATATTTTAAAGCACATGAATCTCTGACTTAAGTTTTGGTTTTTCCTAATGAGTTTTCTTAATATGTTTACTTAATCTTTTTTTTTTTCAAAACTGAAGTTCTATATCATTATTTAACACGAGAGGGTCATTACCTACACCAAACCTGGAAACCTTAGATCTCTTTGATACCGAAAAGTAACAGGTACATAATTACGTATTCCTCTCCTGAATTCCTCATTTATAATCGGAAGGGGGGCTCAATAGTGTACTATTTACAACAAATTATCTATCAAATACTTGTATTCTGAATGGTAAGGTCATCGTGTAAAGTTTTGAGACGAATTAGAAAGATCAAATAAGGACAGCATCTTGTCAGATTGAATTAAAAGTGGAACGTATTTTTCCATATATAAATATAAAAACGGAACTGTTTAACTCAACTGTTAAATGTGACGGCATTGGTATTATGGCTATAATGTATTTAAAAGGCATTCTATTCTACATAAGACTCATTGTCATACCGACCATATTCCACGTTACGGGTTACCAAAGTTCACGATTGTCTCAGTGCGATATCAACTTAGACAATTGGGTCAGATTTTAAAGTGCACGTTTCAGCGCTATTTTATAAATGTGATGAAAAGATACGAATACACAAAGGCACTTCAAGGGGATTGCATATCTTTCTTGTGGTTTTCTCCATTTTTTTCTTTACTGGTGCCATTTTCTTTTCGAGTAATTTGTCAATAACTACTACAAGAAATATTCAAATTCTCAAATATAATTATCTGTAATTATATATTAACCATCTGTCGATAGTAGCGAAGACTACCCTCTAGCACACATGGTTAATAAATAAAGGAAATAATACAACAATATGAAAATAAGCTGCATTGGCAAAACTTATTGAGATCGGGTTTCAGTTTTGGTTAACGTTTCTTGTAGCGGACATTAAATTGAATTTATTGGATTACAAGATGGACAAATAAACGATTTATCAACTGGTATGTAATTTCTGATTAAATAGACTTCTGAAACAATAGTTTGTGACAATGCAAAATACACAGTTTTTTGCCAGCAAGAAGTAATCGCGTATAGAAAAACATCCTGCACTTGGTCCTTGATGTTGAATATTCGCACTCCCCGACATTAGAAGGACCGTGGATAAGATTGTGCATCGGGAAAGCGTTGCTTAGTGTTATGTAAATTATGTAACGGCAACCAAACTTGAAGTTGTCAAAAGAGTAATAAACAAATCTTTAAAACGATCACAAAAGTAGAATTGACAAGGCCATTATGTAACATAATGCAATTCCAAACACCTTCTCAGACAGGAAAGAGTACTGAAGAGTTCCACACAAAGGGAATGTCAGTAGTAACACATTTATGATTACTTCTCGTTAACCTTTCATTGAGGGAATATCACGGGAACACAAGATATCTTTATGTAATAAATTTTTTGACAATGTCATTTTTAAAAGCTCTTTTCTCAGCATGCATGAAGCTATTACCGAATATAAACTACTCTTTGGGGGTATTTGAAAAGATAGCTTAACATTACAAATAATATACCGTAGTATTTCTCACAAATTTCATTTTCAATGTTCATTTTGAGAAAGCCTTACGTGGTTCTCGTTCATTCTGTAGCAAGGAATGGCTTATTTTGTTTCAGACTCTGCAGACTATGGTAAGCTATTCTGATTTTTGAAAATCTTTTTTTTTTTCAGGAATCCGCACGAGGAGCGCCTTTAACGTTTGTACCAGAACTTCATTCGTGGGTGAACGCCACCACAGACTACGGTATGACGTAGAGACTACAGCAGGCGAACTTTTACTCAGCCTGAAAAAAAATGCTCGAAGATGAATTAGCCGATATGTTATCTTGTTTAAATCTTCTTATCAGTTGTATGCTTTGTTGCATATTGTAATAAATCAGAGGGCTTCTGAAAAGAAAACGTGTGAAAGATTTAGATATTATCACAGTTTGTCACAAAAGAGATATTTATCACTGTCTTTAAATATTATCATTAAAATAATGTCTGGCCATAATATCTGGCCAAAAAGCCGTTTACTGAATGCAGCAACTGTATATTTGCAGACAGAGAAACAGCTGCTAGAATAATGGCAATGTACGGATCCCTCGCCCCTCCCCTTCCCCCGGAAGCCTTGAGACCCCAGAGACAAGCCACATTCACATTCGGAAGTACTCGCAAGAACCAGTACAGAACAGTTCCCGACCCCCGGGGATTTTATGCACAGTCTTGGATGCCATTGTACGAAGACATGAATGCATCAAACGATAGAAGAGTCAGAGAAATGGACAAACGACTGTCAGCGTAAGTGTCATTGCTTTTGATACATTTCATTTACAAGCTTATCCTTCTTCTGAAAGACTTTGAATTAAGGAGGATCATTACACTTACATTGACATCCCTTTTTCTGATTATTAACGCTGCGAATTTCAGAATTTCTTCTTTCAATTGCAGAAGCGACACCTTACCACAATTACCAATGTTACAGCGTAGTAATACATGTACAGACATGCGCCCAATGCAGAGACGTATCATACGTTACCCCAAGTCTGAGGAGTATGTACATGAACATAGTATGTTTATGGTGAGTAGAAAGCAACCACTTATCTTTATTCTGAATAATTCTTCAACGTACATACATTTTTGTACTACATGCTAACTGATGTGATTATGAGATGTGTTCATTCTGGTAAAAATCTTTTTGATTACCTGATTTGATTTTTGTTGCAGACAACACAGCCATTGATACGTGGTCACTTTATCATTCATCCAGACTGGGTGTCAGAACGACTCACAAAAAAGAGGATGAATTTAGCCAACAGAAAAGTTAGAAACGGTCTTAGATACGGGACCTCGGAGGAGTACTAAATCAAGCTAGCCTTTTATCACAGTTATATTTATTTATTATTGTTAGACTTTAACAAATTTAACGAATTTTTGCACTTATACAATCTGATCATGTTAAAGTTATGACTGAAACTGCTGCTAATGCATTAGTCGTTTTTTTGGATCAACCTACCAACATACTGAGTGTGTCTATGTTGCTGTGGCGTCTTCAACCCCATTTTCCGACATTCCTTTCGAAATCTAAGGAGAAGATGTCTATCTCCTTGGTGACAGTGTCGTTATTCGGATTTTCTCCGCATCTGTCTGAGGTGCTGACGTTATATAATTGTTATATATCTAGTCTCCTTGTGTGTGTTTTGTTGAGTGAATAGAAATACTCGCTTTTCTTGTGTTACATACACTGTGATATTTATCATGTAAGGTGCACCTCTTTATTCCTTTTTATTTTAAAGATTCAATGCACAACCATTAAAACAAAGAAATGCAAGGAAACTTGTTCTACACAGATTATACATACATACATACATACATACATATATGTATGTATGTATGTATATATATATATAGTCACACAAACGTTTTTAAATTGTTTTTTTTTAATTATTATTTTATTTTGCTATCATGTTTTATATCACTCCACTGGTGTTAGAAGCTTTCGGTTTGATCATGTGATTAGTCGATTATCACGTGACTCTTTTACCTATATCAGTATTACTTTTGTAAATTAGGTTTGTGTCGCAGTAGATGTCACTTTAGTTGTATTTTGATATTTTCCAAAATACAAAGATAAATAAATGAAATACGAATATATTTATCAATAAAATTGTTATTGTTTATTCATTTTATGTATACTTGCCATTCGTATTTTAAGCGCTAAACAGCTAGATTTCCACTGGCTATGCTAGCTGCTGTACTGATTTAAATATTCTCTTTAGAGAAGTGGACAGGCTTTCGCCTACATCCTAGGCGAAAGCCTGTCCACTTCTCTAAAGAGAATACTGATTTAAAGTGTACTTATCAGAACATACAGTATGATACTAAAAAATGTTTGTACACTCAGGCTTAATTATTGCTAAAACAAATATATATCACGGTGTGTTCCTTTAAAGCCATCCTTATTTTGTATAGATATTAAGGATGGCAATCGAATACAAAATTGCTAATCGGTTAACCGCAAGGCGTTCCGACCGATTAGTCGGTTAATAGTATCAAAGTACACATTTTTATTTCAAGTAGCTCTATTCATACACACAAGATTAAGACTAAAAACGTTAGGAGTTCGAAACATTCTGCATCTACATGTACATATATTTTATTTCAATTTCAATAGACAAGAAAAACCGATTATAGATTTTATAACCGATTATCATCGTTACGACCGAGTAATCGGTTAACCAGTTACAAATTGCCATCCCTAATAGATATATATTTAAGAATATATATATATATATATATATATATATATATATATATATATATATATATATATATATATATATATATATATATATATATATATATATATATATATATATATTGTAATGAGTTCTTTTTGGATTTTGTAGAGTTGAGAAGGAAAACAATATCGATCAGAATAAACAAATAAATTTATTAACACAAAATAAATAAAATAGAAAACAAATAAATTCTATGTCACTCACTCACTCTCACCTACAGGCTCACACACCGAAAATGAAATAAATGTAATAGTAAACTGTTAACTCAATTTTCACCAATTCCGATACTTTACATTAATTCAATCTTAACTTCTACAATTCTGATTCAGTAAGTATCAGATATTATATCAAATGAAAAATTCACCAAAATTGACGTAAATAATATTCCGAAAAAGCTCAAATAATTTTAGTTAATAATTATATATACTTCAAAAAATAAATTCCTTTTCTTAAACGGCTGAAAGTTACTCAATAGTTACTATATCACAACTGCTTATAAACGTTCACCGGAAGTCACACCGCACGTGCATCCGCCATTAGCACTCATCTAGGAACGTCTAAGTCCTGCACCGTTCTCTCGTCACCACGTGGTAGTTGCTTTAACCGTAGTCCCGGGTCTATCGCCTCCCACTGCGGTTATCCTACCAACATCGGTTCCTGTTCAGCATCGACGATTGGATATGACACGACTGGCACTCCATCCAACGCTCCCCACTGACCTCAAACGCTTATAACAGTCGTCAACTGACCCTCAGCCCGTCTTCTATGTGCACAATATTCTCTCAGCACCTTACGCACTGAAATGAATTTACGTTTACAAAAACCTAACCTATATTACAACTGAAAACCGGAAATTATAACAATAAACCAACTATTTACATTATTCGAACACTCTTACCGGCTAGAACTGCATACACTCGCTGCAATAGTCCGCCTTACAAATTACATGGCTACCCGTTAAATTCGGTGCTATATCTCACCGAAATATATTCGCCACTTGTATAATCATGCAGGGGATAAAGCAAACGTGGCACACCTCCGGCTGGTCACGCTACCGGACACAAAACTAGATCTGACCACTCTGACAAAACCGGTCCCTTTATATACTCGTAACAAAACAACCTCAATAGTAAGGAAACCCGTTAAAACCAAAATTAAAACAGTACATACAAAAAAAAATCAACTTCGTCATATATATATATATATATATATATATATATATATATATATATATATATATATATATATATATATATATATATATATATATATATATATATATATATATAGATAGATAGATAGATAGATAGATAGATAGATAGATAGATAGATAGATAGATAGATAGATAGATTGATATGAAGTTCAAAAATCTTTTAGAACACACTGGATTTCCTATTATGTGATTATGCAACAATGTAAATCAATCATAAATAAAATCAATATTCAGATATTCAGTGAAATTTCAATTTTGCCAATTTTTTTTTTACATTGAATTTCAATATAGATATGAAGAATAGATTTAGAGGGAGTCGGGGGGGGGGGGGGGGGTTGATAAGGATCGCTTTTAAAGAAAACTCCGTGATAATGTATGTATTAGCAAATAATAAAGGCTTATAAACAGTTATCAAAGGAGTATTCTACTTAAGTATAGTAGTGTGGTCCCTTTTTACACCCTTGGTTTACCGGTTAAATATTAGCATACGGTATTTTGTTTGTTTTCATTGTGTATAAGTATAACGAAGTATTTCTAATTAAAACATTGCGTATTTATAATGAATAATCAAACATATCCAAAAATACAAGCGTATTTTTAACACCTATCACACTAAAAAATGCCGGAACATTTTCCCCCGATCAGACTACGGTTTCTCTATTACATCGAAATGGGCGGAGACATTTAGATTTGATACTATAAAAAGAAGATCTTGGTATGATATTTTTTTTCAAAGACGAATAATGTGTTCAAGATTCACAATCAACTACAAATACAATTTTCTATTAACAAAACTTTGGCAATAAAAGCTATAACAAGATGAACCAAACAAGTCCATGCTGATCGATATAAAACTGAGTACGTTTCAACTGAGAACTAGCACGTTTACTGGGGGCATTTACCCGTAACGATACAAATCCACGTGGCTTGTTATGATTCTAAACAGGTCATAAAGAGGTTAATCGCATGTAAATGAAGTCAGCGAAGAGATTCAAAATCGCAATACTTTTAATTAGAAAACATAGAGCACAAGGTTGTTCAACAAAGATATTTTCACTCAACCTTTACACATATAATATACACATTATATTTCAAACTCGACTCTGAACAAACCTGTGCTCGGTGTTTACGAAAGCTTTGAAGTGTGTACCTGTCGCTGATTTCTTTTGATATTCATGAAAATCAAAGGACCCTACCTTCAACGCGCAGCTTCGTATGCTGCCTATATCTATTGTTTGACATTTTTAGATGATGATTCAAATAATAAAGACATTAGTTAATAATAAAATTTAATTTTTAAAAAATGTTAATGAATGTTCGAAATTTGACGAGCAACCGGGGACCACAGATAAGCCTTATTGAGACTTGTTCTTTCTATAACTTTTTCCTAGTACATGTATATATTCTATGTCCTTAAAAATAGGATCGGTTAGCTCCCATGCCTATGTATTTGCTCTATATTTTCGATACAATTTCTCTAAAAACTAATGCATCTGCTTTAAGAAGGAAATTTTAAATTCATCCTAAATCGATTGATTATTATTGATGAACACACTTGAATCTATCCGACACCAAGATAATTTGTATTACTGGCAAATACATATGTTACATTAATAATTTAAATTAAGTTTAAACTTAGATAGTTATAGATTCATGTAAGTTTAAACTTTAGATTTAAACTATTAATGTAACACATACAATGATATAAGTAAGATCAGGTACGTATATACTAACGTTAGTATATAGGTTCCTGGTAAGATATCCTAGTACTCTAACTACATATCTTGTATCTATCGCGAGCTTACTGACCGGGGGATTGGATAAACATATACTAGTATATGACAGTAATAAATACAAGTCTAATTTGTCATTTCTGGCCATGGGGTTGTAGAAGAAGATGCCAGTGAAAGAAATACCCCCTTGAAGGGCATTGAATCCCATTTAAACCTAAGATGCTCCTTGGTACTTTAGGTTGCAAAGTAACTACTTTTGCTTAGATAGGCTAACAATACAACTTGAACAAGTACTTGGTTTTTTTTTAGGTAAGCCAAGGTGTAACTTGAGCTTCTCGTGTGAACTTTTTCTTTTGTACGTCCGTCTGTAAACTTTTCACATTCTTTACTTACCATGAGCCAACATGCAAGTTTTAAGGAATCTTAGCACACACATCTTTTTCTGAAGGTTTTAAAAAATATTGTACGTGAAAATGTATCCCCCCTCCCGAAAAAATATTGGAAAACTTACTCTACATAACAATACCCCAAATCCTCAGGTAAATCAGACTACTACAAGTAATCTCTTTTGGAGTTGAGAACAAGTCTAACATCAGATTATCATGCAATCATTCTATGGTACCTAGTGTGCATTTCTCTGTTTCTCTCTCTCTTTAGGCTCGTTGCAACGGTTTCAAAAGTTGGGGGGGGGGGGCTTCCCAAAAAATTTAACATGCAAAAAAAAAAAAAACTAATTAACTGTCCAAATCCTGGAATATGCCAGTGCTCGACCTTAGAGCAACAAAAAGTTGGGGGGAGGGGCAACCAGCATCTAAAGGAAAATTTACTAAAGCAAAATACTATACTTACAAAAAGTGGGGAGTCCCCTTCCCCACGCGTTCTACGGACCTGTTTTTTTGTTTTGTTTTTGTTCAGCGATAGTGAACTTAGTCGCCGTATGCAGATTCCAAAGAAAAACCAGTTTCAGTTTGTCAAATAGCACTGTTCCAAGGGAAGAAACTCGTTCCAGATACAATATTGACTTCTAATCTATTATGTATGTCAATTTCAAATATTAGTTTTTAAGCAGCATAAAACCGTGTTTTGTAACTATCTAATAAGGGTCTGTCATCTTAATCATAATAATTTTAAAGGAAACGAATTAGTATAAGTTTTCAAACTTGTTTCCGAATCCCTTTTGATTTTTTTTGTACTACTTGCCTGTATTTTCTGCTTGAAATTTTCAAATAAAATATGGTTTAAACTAGATACAATATTAAAGGATTTATGCTTAACAAAAATAGTAAACTTTTCAGTGCGAAGTTATCATGCTTCTTTCTCTCTCTCTCTCTCTCCCCCCCCCCCCCCCCCGCCTTTTACGGGCCTCTTCCCGATATCTTTATATAACGGATTTATGCATGTAGCAATTACAATACTAAGAGAGACAACTG